GGGGGGGGCGGGGTAGCGCAAATATCTCACAGGTGTTCTCTCCAGAAAAAAGGGGGGAGGACATCAGTATACGCCTTCCAGATGTAGGGGAGGGACGTGCAGCAGTGGTTGCACAACAGCGCGCCTCCAGACGTAAGGGGGGGAGCGCCAGCCGACGCACCCCAGACGTGGGGGGCAGTAGTTGCACCTTCATAAGTAGAGAGGGCAGCACGGTTCAACGCTCTCCAGATGTAGGGGAGGGCAGTAGTTCTTCACCAGCGCGCCCCCAGATGAAGGGGGGGCGATGCGGGTCTACGCTCTTGCAGGGGAGGGCAGTAGTTCTTCACCAGCGCGCCCCCAGATGTAGGGGGGGCGATGCGGGTCTACGCTCTCCAGATGTAGAGGGCGGCAGCAGTTCTTCACCAGCGCGCCCCCAGATGTAGGGGGGGCGATGCGGGTCAACGCTCTCCAGATGTAGGGGAGGGCAACAGTTCTTGACAGTTCTTGACCTCCGCGCCTCCAGATGAAGGGGGGGTAGCGCAGAGTTTTTCCGTTGGGCGGTTTTCCAGATGAAGGGGGGAGCTGCGCGGTCATCACAGATCTCCGCCAGCGCGCTTCCAGATGTAGGGGGGGCAGCGTAGGCAATTGTCGTTGTAGTCGGCGCGCTTACCAGGGTGGCGAGCAGCAGCAGGGGTTTTTGCCGGTAGATGGGAGGAGCCCGAGTCCGCTTGGCAATGGAGTCAAGACCCCCGCTGAGACCGACAATTGCGGTTGATACCCGTAGCAGAGAATACATGCAGATATTTGAGAGCTTTTTGTGTGTAGTCGCAAACTATGGGAGGGCATCCAATGTCGCGTTAACCCGATGTTAGTGAACGTGCATGTCTCGGACGACCTCCCCTCAACAGTCGCCACCGTGTTTTGGTCGTATCAATGTTTTTCCTTGCTGTTCGAATCGGTCCAGGAGGGCATTTGCAAGTGGCATTTCATGCGCAGTGACGTTTTAGGTGTTGATTTTTCTGAACTTCTGTTTGTTGCACAAGAGCCGTTCCAACGCCAAACCACGTTGCCGGGCCCCGTGACACTCAACAAGTTCAATGAGTAGTATGCCTGTTGTCACTTTGTTTCGGCCAGCGTTGGCATTTTTATGTTTGTCTTCCCTGAAAATGTTGAGATGATCATCCGAACTATCGTTGTAGTTTGGTGCGCTTGGTATGCCGCCATGTAGGGGAATTGGAGTAGTGAAGCTGCCAACGATAGCGCTCTACTTGGCCTTCGTTTGTAGGGAATTGGAGTAGTTGAGATGACAACGATGATGTTTTATTTTGGCAGTCGTGGAATCATTGCGAGGGTTTTTGGCTCCGAGGCCGGGTTTTCCCTTGCAAGGTCTTTGTTTTCTGTTTGATTTTTCGGTAGTGTACGAGTACGTTCAGCAACACACGGTGGTGGTAAATTACAAACGCAAGGAACCAGGGAGGGTGTTCGTGTGATTGAATCTGTAGGAAGGATCTGAGGACGGTTCTGTGTTCCGTAGATGAAGGAAACTACCGTGGTACCTGTTGTGGTAGACTTGGATGAGTCTGCGGTGCCCCCATGCTGCGTCAGCCTGTGTGGGGCACCCTCTTTCTCCTCTGTCTGTCGTGCGTTTGTCCTGCGGATCTCACACACCCAATCAACGGGACTTTCTAGTCACTGGACGCAAATACGGGCATACCCGGCAAACACTCCGGCTCTAGGAGTGATCAACATTATCCATGAATCTTAATCTCTTTATCGTGGAGTAATTGAGCTGTGAAAATCGGTCCAGGGGACGTGGTATCTTGCGTCACCTACCCAAGGTTTGTGCCGGGAGACAAGGGACACGTTGTGACTCAAAAAGAACACACCTGTAGGAAACGCCTGTCCGCCCGTAGAAGCAAGTGAGACGGGGCTGCGGAATCTCCCTCCCGAAAAGCTTTATCGGTCGCTGCATCCACCCCCCCCGCGCTGCGCCGTCTTCCCTGAGCCCGGGGCTTCCGCTGCCGTCGCCGACGCCGCCGCCGCTGCTACCAGCCTCTGGGTCTTGAGGGCGCAGGTCGGGGTTGACGGTGAGCTCTTCAAACAGCCTCCGTTGCGCGGCATCGCTGAGGAGGGAAGGCCAGAACCGGAGCTTGCCCGTACCGCGTTGGAGATGAAAGGTTTCACACGAACCCGTAGCTGCTGCCGGTGCTGTAGTTCGCGGTGTGGGAAGAGCGGGTTGGGCATGAGAGGATATTGGCGTCACAGCAGCCGCCCCTTTGCTTGTTGGTGTTTACAGTACGACAAGGGTTAGTCAATACATTGGGCATTGGATTGCTTCGCCCGTTGTAAATAGGTCGAGCGTGCGTACGAATAGCACATCCTAGTTGAATCTAACGGGAGGGAAGACGGCGGGCATGTTACAGCGACCACAACAAAACTGCTGCTGCATGTACCGCTCAAAATCCTGACGACAAGCAACACGGATCGTCGGCGGGATTTTGCTTGCCCTTGGGCTGTGAAGAGCTGGAACTTCCGCCACACCGTCGCTTGGCTCCAACTTGTACATTCGGCCGAGAAGCTCTTCCTCGCTTCCCCTCTGTCGAAGACATGGGAAGGAGGCAGGACAGGGAAAGCGAGATCTCAAAGTGTGTGTGTGTGTTTTTTGTGTGGGTTGGTGTACCGGTGTGCCAGGACAGGACTGTCGCCTTGTTGGCGAATCAAATCACCGCACATCTTGCCTACTCGCGCCTCGTCTCGACTCTCTCGCTCTCTGCTGCCGTGCGCTGTTGTGCTGCTGTACTCAGAGCAGGAGGCGCGAAGAGATCAACGAGGGCCATCCGATCTGTGGTGATGATGGCGCGTCGAAGGGATAGCGTGTGTCGTCACGTAGTGCTCGCCCTACTGCTTCTCCTTGATTTGCCGGTCTGTCAGCCTTTTGCCTCGCCAACAAACGTCAACCTGCGGCTGAGATCATGCACCGCGACGGGCAGGCCGCCGAACCACCCCGCTGGCTTGCCGTCGCTACCGGCAACACCCGACGACAGCGTGATCGCGGGGTCGAACCAGCTGGAAGGCTGGAAGAGGAACACCGTCGGCACTGCTGCGCATGCAACCACGAGGCCGAACGTGATGGGGCGGCGCCGCCGGGGGGACGGGAGCAACGGCGGTGATCCTGCTGCTGCTGCGGCCGGCAACACGGAGCCCGCATCATTTCCCCCTCATCATCGTGGTGATACGTACGGCGGTAGTGCCGACGATGCGACGGCATGGCGGGTGGAAGCAGCCGCAACAACTGCGGAGCTGCTGGTGTCCTTCAAGGTCAGCTACTGCTGTAAAGTGACCACGGTCTCGTGTTCACACCCTGGCCGATCGTACTGCTGTGGTACAACAGCAGTCTTGCGGTTTTGCATACATGTCCCGACACCATCGGAAACTTCTCCTTTGGCAGTTACCAAAAGGTACTGAGGTGTGCTTGCCGTATTTTACTTGAGTTAGCAGGTGTTGTCGAGCGATTCGCA